AGAAAGAAAGAAAGCTGGGCATGGTGGCACACCTCTAGTCCTAGCTACTTGGAAGGCTAAGGCAGGAGGCTGAAGCAGGAAGACTGCTGGAGCCAGGGAGTTCAAGGCTTCAGTGAACTATGATGGTATCGCTGCACTCCAGCCTGGGCAGCAGAGCAAGAGCCTGTCTCAAAACAAAATTAATTGAATTAAATTAACAGTAAATGCAAAAAAAAAAAAAAAAAAATACTAAACACTATTTCCCCTTGGAATAACTGAAGTTAAATCTGCCCCTATATCACCTCCCTGTTCTATTGGGTTTTTTCCTAATCCAATTTACTGGAGAAACTTTTACATTTATATAGGAAATGAATGAAACTATTACTTCTCAAGCACTACTCTGTGCCAGGCACTGGATTACATACTTTTCATATAACCTTTATTTAATTTTCACAAGTCTTCAAGGTAACAATGTCCTCATATTACATAAGAATATTGAATAAGTAAGTGAAACAACAGTCAAACTCAGATTTGACTGACTCAGAAAACCATGAGCTGCTTACATTAGACTACTTTGCCAAAGGATACTGCTTCATTCTCACATTCTTGACTAATTTTTTGCTTCCCTCTGTATTTGTTATCAATTATTTTTAAAGTGTACATAATATGGAATTTGTAATCTCTCTCAGAATAAAAGAATTTTAGTTCTTTCTATAACCCAAAATTTGAAACAAATTTATAATTTTAACCTTAGTTTATCTCCAAAAAACAATTTAAAACCTCCATAAATTACATATATCATCCTTAGTTATAAGAGCATATTCATAAATATGTATCATTTACAAGCATTATATTTCCAAGAAATTAGCAACAGAATTATAATCAAAGAACTTTAAACCTGGTAAAGAATTTAAGAATAATACAGATATTATTTAGATAAATTACTAACTATTCTGGTCATAAAAGAGACCTACCAAATAACCCTCTATGGCGTACTCCAGAACCCAGTGAACTTTTAGGGACTGTCTTCTATATGACAAATAAAAATCACCCTTTGTAAAAGCTTTCAAGGCAAAAATTTACGGCTCTCTTTAACATACTATGCTGCTTTATTGATTTTAGCTGGCAATTTGTAACACAGAGTAAAGAGAAATACAAATAAATCTGAAAACTAATTTTAAGATCTTTCCCTTCCTTTCCTATATTAAATAACTTCCAAGGCTCAAATCCTTTCTCACTGCTGTCAGTACCCGTTTTTTCTACCCTTTTCAGTGTCTCTCCAACTGTTTTATGTCAGAATAAACTATGGACAAAATAATCAAACTGTATTAGTCAGAGTGTTTAATTTAGCACTCCAAGAGCTCAATGACCAAGTTAAAGAAAAATAGTAATCACCAGCTTTTGGATATTAAACTCCAGAGTCATGTTCATATCTAAAAGTACAAAATTGTTAACACATATTCAATGTGCAGAATGCTATGATTTGACTCTAAACAATTACCTTGAATTTGTGTGATTAACTTCTAACCCTTATTAAATGTCATCATGTTTTTGATGGGCCACTGATAGGATTTATTTTCTATTTGCACATAAGTAATTTCATAGACTACTACAATAAGGTTTAAATATACATTTGGGTAAAGTGAAAACATATTTTGAAACTCATTATTATCAAAGACTCTAGAGTTCTATAATATGAAGAAGCCATGCCTAGAAACTAATACCATCACTCATAAATGCTATCATAACCTAGAATTTTCTTTTTTCTTTTTTAAATAGAGACAGGCTCTCCCTGTGCTGCCCAGGCTGGCCTCCAATTCCTGGGCTCAAGGGATCCTTCCACCCGGGCATCCCAAAGTGCTGAGATTACAGGCCTCAGCCACCATGCCTGGCCTAGAATTTTCAAAGTTCTATAAGTAGACAATAGCTTATGAAAATTACTTTTAACAACCAATGTACTTAATTAAATACCAAGCTTGGGACTGTAAAATCTGAGCAATATTTTAAGTTGTATAAAGAATGATAATGCTTACTAATGTAGCTTAATTCCAAGACATGCTATGTTTAATATAGGCAGTTTCTATTTTAATAATTTTTCGCATTTATATTTTTAAAACTATACTACTCTGTAAAGACTGTTATTGGCTCTGATGAAAGGCTAATAACTTGTGTATCCTGTGTATAGTATTAAGTCAGTAAATATTAGTTGGAAAGCAATAAAAGTAAAAGAAAACACCAAGAGTCAAATTTGTATTTCTAGATCCAAGATGCCATTAAAAAAAGCAGCACATAACCTTGACCACCACATCTAGCACCTGCAATAACAAAAAGAGAGGTATAGTCTACTACTCTAATTTATAGTCCTCACACCTAGGAAAGCAATATAGAGCAGCAGCTTTGAAACCCTGTCTCCCAATAAAGTACTACTCAGAATCCTAATTTAAAAAGAGATAAAAATGGACCTGCTCTGCTTCCAATCATCCCTCCAAAGGTATACCTTGAAACATTTCGGTTGAAAATTTTCAAATTATTAAAAACATAATTTAAAAATTATTAATATAGTGGATACAAATATTAGCGTAAGAGTCACAAGATCTGTAAAAATGTTTCTTGACCTCTCTGTCTTGGTTTCCTCATCCTTAATTTGGAAACAATTCCTTCCCCATATAACTTGCTGTTGGGAAAAGCTAAATTAAGATGCTAGACACCATAGAGCTTTGTAAAGCATGACCTTTGTATAGCAGGACCTATGACAATATGAGGCATATTATAATTACTGTTCCATATGCTAGGCAATATGTTTAAACAAACATGCTTCTTTTCCCACCACTCCCCTTCCCAAGGTACTTCCTTACTTCACATACCACAAATACATTTAATGTTACCAAAATGAAAAGAGGTTCAAAAATCAAATTAAAAGGGAAAAAGAGGGAATGAGAAACATACATAGAATTGTTCTCTATTGCTTTTCTCAGGGTAATTTAAGGTAAGCTCATTTCCTATTACTTTACCAAGTGAAGGACTTCACCAACACATCTATTGGTTAATTTCCTCTAAACTATTTTTGATATATTTGTAAGCACTTTTAATAAAAGTATACTATAGAGACGCTTTTCTCCAAATCCATTTTACAATTATTAAGTATAATGTCAATGTCCATAGTGAGATATCTTCAATCATGAAAACTGAGTGATAAGGGAAAAGAAGGTCTGAGTGGCTTGACATTTACTCAAATGGTTTGGGAAATATGATAAAATTGTAATATATCCTAGGAAAACTACTTAAAAGAGTTGGTACTAAGTCTCTTTAAATATACTATCTGTGATAAAGATTATTATAGCTCTTAAGCTGTAACTTCTATGCATACATGCAATTACTAACTATAAATAATGTTGTGAAGGACTTAGACACAAAACTATTCAGTTTATCTTTCAACCTTACATCCATAAAATTTTAAGAAAATGCATAGGGGAATTTTTGATGTACTCTACAGAGGACTTATGCAGAACCACAAGTTTGAAATGGAGGATACAGCTTCAGTTTATTTCTCTTAAGCTTTGTCTCTTAACTAGCAGGTTGAGTACTTATCTTCCCAAAGAAACTAAAGAGTATCCTCCATCCTCTGTTTAATGACTATTAAAACAGAGATCATACATCAGATTGAAATAAGGAGCACCTTATTCCCTGTGAAGACTGATGGATTCTATTTTATCATCCCATCTTTGATTGAAACAACATGAACACAATTTTTAGAACTTAAGAAATTAAACTCTAGGACTTAAAGATAAATTATTAACACTTTTTAAAATTTTACTAGATTAAATATGCTTACAAAAAAGTAAACCACATGATTACTATAAAATAATACCAATTTTAATCATACAGTCTTCATTTATTAAAAATTAAGAAACACTAAAATACCAATGTTTGATCATCCTCGATGGGCTGGCAATTGCATTTCAACTCTTTGGAAAGGTAAGGAAGTAATCTGGGTGCAAACATAACCTCAAAGACCAATGACAATGAACAGCTTATAAGTACTCACAGAAACCATGCCTCTCCCTCCGAAACACTTCCCACTTATCTACCCTACACTGACTCCTGCTCTTTTCACCTTTCTGAATGCCAGTGGAAGGCCTCTCTTTAAAGTATTGTTTGTAGCGGAAGCAGAAGTTCACACAAACAAGCTGCTGCATCTTCCTACATAGCCAAACTATTATTGAATAGGGGAATTATGACATCAGCAGTATGTTAACCAATTACTTTAACAAATAGTTAATATCTGCTGATAAGCATACTATCGTATCATTGGCTGAATTTCATAAAGTCAACTATTATTTTTCTACCTTTAATTGAAGCTTACTTTGATCTAGGCTTAATGCTTGGTAATCTACGAAACCACTATGAAAATACATGTGGTATATACACTTATTTGACTGCCATTTTAGAATGTCAAACCCACACATTATGCAGGGTCACATATTGGTATCAAAGAGACAGGGAAAGACTAACTTAATTCTCTTATTTGTGCTCTCAAACCGCTCTGAGTAGTGCCTGAAAATTTTACATTATTGGAGTTCCAGTGCTCTTTCTTTATTGTTCCCCCATAAACTCTATATGGCAGTTATGACTTTCGAATGCAGCATGCATTTAATGCTACTTGGGGCACGTTTGGTTGGGATGGGAAGTTGGTAGGTAGAAAGGGAGGAACTCTCTTGTGATTTTTACAACACCACAGAAAGCTAGGTTAACTGAAGCATTTAAAAATATGAACTAAAAACACTTAACTATGTAAATAATAATACTGTTTTCTTGAAAACATAAATAGTAGTGACAGAAAATAAAGTTCTTTACCATATTAACCATTGCCAACCAACAAGAAAGAAAAAAATCTCAAAATATGAAAAAAGAAAATTGCTATCGAAAAAATTCAGACATGAGTTTCCATATATGACACCTAAAAATACTCTGTATTATGTATAAACAGTTCATTATTTATAAAGAACATGTATTCAAATTACCTCATATTCTTTCCATGAGCCAAACTCAATGTATTCTCTACCATAAAATGCCAGAATGACCAAGTGGCCTAAAATATTAAAAGCAAGAACAATTAGTTCACATTATAAATGAATTATTTGATATGCAGAAGTCACGTGATTATTTAAAATTATTAAGTTTGTAAATAAGTATTAATTATATTAATTAAATAACTGAATTATTTTAAAAGTATTTCTTCACTGAATGCAGTGATATTTTTAAATGTTTCTGATTTAGCCAAAAAAGACACCGTTTTTGATTTTACATAAGAGAATTTTTAGTTTTCAAAGAATTATAATTCAAAGAATAATCACAGTATCCTAATAACAAGAAAAATAAATCGGGAAATCTGAGAAAAAAGCGTTCTTTAAAAGAACATGTACTTTTAAACCATGAAGATGAAAGAGCAAACAATTCTGAAAATCACTGTGCTAATTTCTTGCAGAGAAGCAAAAGTGAGAATGGTTTAGCAGCTGACATGCATTTGCTAATTTCTTAAAAATAATTTAGCTTTATGGAAATTTTTAAAAGAAAGATCTTTTGTTCAAGGAAGAAGAATATACAAGTTTATTTTTAAACTAATACTTTTTATTGGCTAATAAAGTAAATGTGGAGTAGCAATAATATACAAATATACCTACATGTATGTGCTTATATATGTTCCCTAAATTTGGCCCATGATATCAGAGATAAACTTATTACAAAGTATATCTGATCATTTAGTTAACTATAAAGAGCATCATAGTTACCTGGCACGATTTGGTTTTATCTTTTTTTCTTTAAAGGTAAAGGTGACATTAAGTGACAGTTGCCATAAATTTTTATATTGGCCATTAGACATAGAAAAGTAACAAAGCAAACAAGCACAGCTGAGTATATATGAATAGGCAACAGTCTAAATACACAAATTTGGGATTACTTGAAGAAGACAAGACAAGGATCACTAAAACAATCACAGGTGTTTGCTGTGTATTTAAGTGATAACAAATCAGATACAGCAAAAATGCAATAATCTACAATAATTAACACACTTGAATTCTCAAAAAGAACCTGGCAATTTTAATCATATTCCCATATTTTCTTACTTAACTGTCATTATAAAATACATTTTCTGACATGAGGCATTATTTGTAGTACACATATTATTAAGTGACTATACAATACTTCTTAACAATTTTGAGCAACGTGAGTCAAACATATCTGCAGTTAAATGTTTATAATTCAACCTACTCCTTTAATTCCAATCATTTTCCCCTACTACCTTTCCCTATATCTACCTACCTTGTAAATATCAAGTGAAAAATTCAGGCCAGTCTATTCATCTGTGTTTACTTCTTTCCAAATAGGCTGCAAATAAAACATATTCTTTGAACATTATCTTTCACTGTTTTCTATCTCATTGTGAGCAAAAACCACAATTGCTCAGAATCTATTTTTTATGATTACAACTTCCTCAGCCTACTACTTTACTGATGATACAAGTTTGTCTTTGTCACTTATCTTAACCTTAAAATCCAATTCATTTCTTAAAAACTCCTGCTTGTATATTATTCAATTAATCTAAGAAAGACTAGCTGTTTGTTTGGTGTCACACATACAAAAATTAAATACATAATACAGTCCTTACACACTAATAGCTTACAGATAACCATGCTAATCAATGCTATCTACCTAACATCGAAAGTGCTACAGTGGCCCCAACCACAAGACCTAATTTTCCTTGTTTTCATCTATATTCTACAATGACTCTATTTTCATCTCCGGCACAATTATTCAAAATATCTATCCTGCATTTCAAAATTTACTGAGTCAGTACTAGATGCTTGGTAAAGTGCTAGGAGGTCATTAGGTGCTGGGGCAAAACATGGCTATTCTACATTCAGGTCCCATTCTACCAACTCCCAAATACTGTCCTACTTTCTCAGTGGCTCCATAATTCTCCTCGAACCCAGTGATCTTTCATCTTTTTTTCACTCACATTTTCTCATGCCCCATAACCAACAGTAAATAAACCCTGCTCATTTGTCACTCGTGTCAGATGTCCCTTTCAGCACCCCCTGAGACTCAGGCAACAGAAGCCATTGGTCTGGGCCACACCCTTTAGAGAGCTTGCTTTGGCTCTCTGGCCAGGTACCTCCTCGGGAGGCAAGAAGTCTGCACAGCCCAGACCCATGCTCCCTGAATCCTTTAGACTCTACTTCAGAAGATTCCCAGGACCCTGAACTCCCATGCAGAGTTCTGGACTACACTCCTCATGACAGATGGAGATTCAGGCATACTCAACTCTAGGCCTACAGGATAGTCAACAGATAGCTTGCAAGGGGTGGAGGAGCAAGGTTGCCTGTGGAATAATCTTGGGGCAGGCTATGGCAAAGAGCCTAGGATATGAAAAATGAAGGCAGACTACAGGACACATGCAAGGTAACGAAGGATCAGTTCTCCCTTTGCCACTAAGTTCTAGAACAGAACTGCTAAGGAGGGTCCTAGGACGGTGCCAGGCATCTAACCTGTATTAGGCTCTTTCTCACCTTTAGTAATATTTACAACCCCAGTGACTAGTTGTTATCTATGTCTTATCCATGAACTAAAAGCAAAAAACTAGCAGAAAAAGGATTTCAACCACAGTCTTTCTGAATTAAAAGCCCAAATTCTTCACCCTATTATTCCTTTCAGATGATTGAGAGAGGTTCCCCTGAATTCCGATCTGCTCTATCTATTCTACACAGATCTGCCAGATTAATCTCCTTAAAGGACCACTTTCACCTTAATATGTAATCCATTTACTAAAAATATACACTGACTGGTTATCCCATAGCCTTTGCCTTTTCACTCCATCTGCTTCACGATTTCCCAACAAACTCTTCAAACTCTTTATAACAAAATCATACTTGCCACTATGCCATTCTGTTTGCAATCTCTTCATCACAGACAATACACCTCCAAAACAATCTTCTAAGATCCATGTCCTGCTTTGCCTCACCTCTGAAGGTTTCCCTAACCACTCAAGTCCATAACCCTTTCTCTTTCCATTTGTCTGTATCCCCATAATACTGATAGTCTTGAACCATTTAACAAGTAAGCTATGTACTTAGTATGATGAGAGCAACAAAAGATATCATGTATCTTTTGACTTCAAATCACTTTGTGGAGTTAATTTTGTTGGAAGACACTGCAAAAAAGACTAGTAAAGTGGCCCTAGAGACAGAGTCCTGGCTGAAAATCCTGCCTCAATCATATATTTGCATAGACTATGCTGTTAAATTTGCATAGTATAGTAATAAGCAACAGTTCTTTTATAATAAGCAAATTTTTGCACCTGGAACCCCTTCAGATCTTAAATTTTTTTGAAAATCCCAAAGAACTTTTGTTGGCATATATTATATCCGGTCATGTAACCAGTCATAATAAATGTTTAACAACCAACTCTTCACTCTTTCCCTCCTCACCAAAAAAAGTCAGATTTGTGGTTTCTACTAAGTTGTATACTAATGTGTATACTCCTGATATAGCTACTTTTCAAGCTAGAAATGTGACATTCTGAATACAGAATTAAGAAGAGATGAGCAACAGTGGTTCTGTGCAGCTGATAAGGCTTCAGTTTTAAATCATTAGTTTTATCTATCTATACTCATCTTATTAGAAAATCAAATGGAGAAATATAATAAATATGCATTAATTTAAAACAGTAATCATTCTATGTTAATTTTTAAATTATAAAATAATATAAATTTTCCAAAATAAAAAAACTTGATAAGTATGGAACTGTTTTACAATTTTATAAAATCCTTTAATGTCTTGCTTAATAAAAGACAGATTCTAACAACTAGTTCTATACTCAATCTGCTGTTTTGGCTGAAGTTATGAAGAAAACGCAGCCTCACACAGACAGGGAATTGAAAAAAGGCCTCCAGCGGTCTTCCATTCACACTTTGAGAAGCATTTATATATAGTATACGGTTTGCATAAAACATTTTGGTGTTAAAAGGCCTTACCAATAGTGAAAGTCTGGATAAGTTTGGTGGTTTAATTAGTTTTTCTCACCTAGGAATTATGTCAATATGAAGAATTCTAACTTTACACTGCCCTGAAAAGAAAGTCCACATTATTTCATATGTATATGTATTTACATATATATGTATATTACTGTATTTGTATACATATTATACTTTCCCCTATTCAACCATTCAAAGTGCTCAGAATATCAAGGAAAGAAAGGTAACCATAAGGCAAGAACTTCTCCATTTTTAGGAAAAAAAATTCTATGTAGCAAGAAAATTTATGAAGCTAATGTATGAATCTTCACCGAGCTAGACATGATATCCAATTAAGCATAAAAAGTACAATTATGTTCTACATTTTTACAAGTGGTCAACTGTACCATACATAAGTCAGATATTGTATCACACAAGATAAATCACATTTTCATTCATGTAAAAAGAAATGGCAATATCAATAGAATGTATTTTAGCTCTGAAATTTAACATTTTTGTATTTATTTTGGCAGTATTTAATTCTTTAAAATGTCATTAAACAGCTTAATATGCACACACAAGTTGTGCTCAAGGAAAAAAATCATTTAAAATGTGCAGAACTACTAGAATCAGCTAATGGTTTTATCTGAAAGGCTGTATCTGTGTAACTATATCTTTATAAATACTGTTTCCCCTGGCTCTAAAAGTATCATTTTAGCCTGGTTTTCTTCTCACTCGTAAAATATCACCGCAACGTTAAGTATGTTCTATGCCTCATCTTTTCACTAATCTTAGGTAAGCTAGATGTACGCTCCTCAAAGAATTGAAATAGGATAACCACTACCTAAACCAACTTAATCACACTAGCCACTGCAAACCATTATTATATTTCAAACCACTTCTATTCTTTTGAAAATATTACCTTCCAGTTAAATGAAATGCTTTCTTTATGATCACTTAAGCAACAACAGAATATACTCAAATGTAAACCATATTTTGTAAATCAATGATGAACACATTAAATAGTTTTAAGGGGTAGGCCAAAAAGTGCCAAAAGTAATCAAACTTTGTGATTCCACTGCTGCTTTACTTCTTTTAAGCAGAAGCTATATTCATTTTCAGTTTTCTTACATCAACATTGTAAGGTGTTTACATAAGCCCGCGCAGTTTAGTCACTTCTGCTCTTATAGATTTTTACACGGAAGAAAATTTTAAAGACAGGCTGACTGTTTAAATAATACGAGCCTCACTGTATTTATTTACTAAAATAACTAAACTTGTTCTATTAATTAAATTTCACTCTTTGTACAAAGTAGTAGGTATTTCATCTCGTAGTGCATTTTCTATAACTGCTCCTGTAAACTTTAAAGATCCTGCCCCAAGACTGCAATCTGAATGAGAGGCCATTTTATAAAAGTTTAAAGAATTCTTAATCACTTACCAATACTAAAAATGACTTAATATGTAGTGCATAACATTCCTCTTTGAAAACAATTTTGTTTCCAATTATCTAGTTCCATGTTACTATTTTCAGCTGCTACCCTTTCCTGCAAAACCCTCCTCATATCCTTCACCACAAAGACTAAGCCAGAAAGATGGAAGTAAGAATATCAGCTTCCACAGTTTGAGTATTAATTCTAGGCTATCATGTTAAGCTCTCTATATACACTTATCTCATTTTCCCTTTCACTTTATCTTTCATTTTAAACTCCTACAGAGTAGGTAATATTCCCAATTTTACATTAGAAATCTGGGATCAAAGCAGTTAAGAAATTTATTTAAAGATAATTAGCTACCAAATGACAAAACCAGGGTTTGAACTCCAGTATCTCTTATTCAAAGGAGTAGAACTCACATTTTTCCCTAATAATTTTGCAAGCTAACACACCTCATGCAAGGTGCATCAGATTTAAAAAAAAATTAAGCTAAAGATATAAGTCATAGATAGTTGTGTATGTGGAACTGGCATACAAGCATCTCACACAGCATGGTTTGCATCTTTGTGGAAATTTTACAAATCCATGCAAATACTACAACAGCCTGCTATTAACGCTGTGACAGTCCTGACAAAAATCTACATTCAAGATTAGTTTGCAGGAGGTAAGCTTTCCACAAATCTGCTTCATAGTGAACCTGTGTTTGTGTCTTCAAGAGCATGCTGTGATTTGATACTCACAGGCTGATCTACAGTTGTTTATGCCATTCCTCATGATGTCAAATATAAGGTCAAAGTCTTGAAACGTTACAATATGTACCAAGTCTGGCAACTTAACTGCTAAACTACTATCAGAATAACTGATAGGCAGGATTTTTCTATAAAGTGCTACACAGTCACTATGTAAGTCACTATACAAGTCACTGTACTACGTAACAAAGTAAACAGAAATATCTTGAAGGTAACAAGTACCACAAGGAATTCTTCTCTAAAAAAAAAAAAAAAATTCAATGTTCTGAAAGTGAGCCCCAAATTCAAGTATTACATTCACAGTGGCTCCCATGGATTATTAAATGGTAAAGAAAAAAACTGATAACCTCAAGGCGAAACTTCCAAAAATTAGAATTTTGCCTGGTAAAGAAAGTATTTACATTGAATTGGAGCTGTAACTCATCACTTAGCAAGAAAAAGATTCTTTGAAGCCATGCAGATCTCTTGAATTATGATGCCTCATAATAAGGTCCGCTAGTAGGAGCTCATATATCAGATGGGTGTTATGAAAATATCTCCACGGGAAATGTCACTGTGAGCAAACTATTATTATAGGAATATGAACGAATATATCACTTAATCACTGATAAACATCTATACCTCAAGCAAATTTGTCACAAAAAAAATTGCATACACTATACCATTTACTTGTTCTATGCCATAAGCTTGCTTAAAGAGGCTGATTTACCTTTAGTTGAAGCTGTGTATTTTCTAATCTGTTTAGGGCAGCTGTCAAGTAATCAGAGTGAGCAGTGCCATTTTAATAAGGAAGTCTTTTAATGAAATATAATAGGTCACAAATACCTAATTTCTGCTCTTTACTGTAATTGCCAGTCTTACTATAACTGCCACTTTAACAATCTTTTCCAAATGCTGACACAAAAGATGAACAAATCAAGGGTATTAGCATGTGTGTATATTTACAGCTTATTGCTGTCAAAGACTGTAGTTCCACTCCCAGCTCCAGCAGCTATATGAGGATCTGATTCTTTTGATGGAAGCATCTTGTTTCAGGTTGTGAATGTATCTGAATTAATCTCCTTTTCATGGCTACATTAGCAATCACACACTAAAGGACACAAAGGAGAAATGTTAAGTCACAGCACAATATTATACTCTTAAGAATATCACAGATACTTTTACTGTCACTGAAAGGGTTATGTATTTTAAAACTTTACTCTTCTTTAATAAATTCTGTGCTCCACTACTTATTAGTTCTTAATTTCAAAAAATAGTTTATATACAGTTCAAATGGCCTGTTTTCTTAAGATAAATTTTAAAAGTTTATTATATCATTAGTTTTACATGAACATAATTTAAATCACATAAAACTATAAGGAGCTGCTGCAAAATTAAATAGAGGATCACAACAAGAGTGAGAAAACACAAATATAAATTTTTTATTTTTAAAAAACCTGATTTTACTATACTACACTTAGTTTCTGAGAAACTCTTTAAAAATACTTCTCTAAAAAGTTCTTTACATGGTATCCTTTTTGTTGTTGTTATTTGGGGTATATTGTTTTTAAGCAGTAGCTGTTTAAATTTGGTACTATTACTACTATTTTAATACAAGTCCTGTGCACAAACAGTAGTAGTTTTATAAGAAGGTTGCCCATTTTTCAAAGGCTAAGCGTTCCCAAATCAAACTAACTTACCGTGAAAAGAAAACCATGACAACTGTTTGTACCTCTTGCTTTATTATCACATCCGGCCTGGTCACTCTTAGAAATTCAATCTATTATGGTTGCTAGGAGTCTGTTGCTGTGCAACCTAAAAGGGTATGCTGTGCTTTCAGGCTAAGGAGTGCTAATAAACCTGTAGGCTTCCCTCTGTGGGTCCAACCAGTGTGTTTAAAGGGCTTAATACTTTTCAAGAGTGATTGGCCCACAATTCAAGACACATCCTATTAAAAACAAGTCACACTGAGAGATTTCTAACAAAGAGACAAAATGCTAAACATACACAAATATTCAAAATGTATCCTCAGAATCCCTAATTTGGTAAAACAAACAATGAACAGATTATGATCTACATTTCAATTATATCACCTACCGTTCCCCAAGTTTTTATTTTCATATAGTCCCCTAAAAGTCATAATGGATATGAATGAATTGAGCAAGTTTTAGGCAAAAAAAGCAGTACTAGGTACCTTCAACTTTTATAAACTCCAATAATAGAAAAATAAGTTAAACCTAGGAACCCAAAAGTCATGAAGTCAGTAAAAATAAAAACCATTCCCCCAAAAAATTATTTTAAAAATACAGAAGTTCCACATTTCATTTTATTATAAAAACAGAGATTTGTTTTCATTACTTTGTGACAGTGATTTTATATTATAAAATCTATACTAGCCTATCATATGCACATTCGATAGCTTTAAAGATTAAATTTAATAAATTATTCACATAAATTTACTAAAAGTAGATAGCATTATTTGAATGTAAATGAGAAGAAAAGCACAGCAGAGTTTATCAATGAAATACTGTTAGTCAAATTGTGTGAAATGAATTTTGAAAAGTGGAGTTAAGGGACAGCTTCTAATTCCTTTAGAAATTGTACTGATTTGTTACTCTAATAAGCCTTCTTCATAAAGTATTTGGAGACCAAGGTAAAGGTGTTCTATCATAAAATACCAAAGACCACACACACAAAAAAAAATAAAAATAATCATCTTAACTATGAAAATCTATCCAGAACCTTCCGTGGATATTTTGGCTATATTAATATTGCCTGCAACTTTGGAAAGTTAATTTTTTTTAAGTTACACATTTTCTCTACATTCATGGAAGCATTTAGCCCTTCAACTTAACTACTCTGAGCTGGGAACCCTTTAAATAACCTGTCACCTGCACTACCTTATTCTTTTTTAAAGAGTTACTGTTATCTGTTATTCTACTATTGCTTTCATTTCTTCTCATTACACACTATAGGAAGCAGAGTAAAAGAAATTAACTATTTCTCTAAAAGCACCCCAGAGCAACAAACAGAGGGACATGGAACAACTATCCAAAAAAGAAAAGCCAAGAAACCAACAATAAAGAAGAGCTGCAGTAGGCTGAAAGGTGTAAAGACAACATCTGACCAAAGAGCTGAGGCTGAAAGGAGGTTTAGAACTGCAACAGCCTATAGCAAAGCAAAGCAAAGCACAGCAGAGCAGAGTAGGGCAAATGGGAGAAAAAGAGTAGAAAAAAATGAGAGACAAGAACATACTAGAAAAAGAATTGAAGGAAAACTTATTAAAAGAAATGTGGATTCATTTTCCAGATGAAAAGAAAAGGGAAAAAGAGAAAACAAATATGAAAATTTATATTCAAGAATTATATATTCCTTGCTTCATCCTTATTTCTTTAAAAAAAAAGCAACTCAGGAAAAAAAGTTCTTAAAAGATTCAGTGATGTCAGCAGACATAAATGTAAAAACCAAGATTAGTAATTTATAAACTCCACTTAATTTTACAAAGATTTGAATACTTTCTAGTTCTCCTGTATAAGAAAATTTTAACAAATCTATAGGGCCTAATGTATGAAAACCTTTTAAAACTAACTAAAATTGATACTTCCCAAATAAGAACAAAACATTCAAATACATGCACAACTCATATACACACATTAGTCAATAGTTATTAAAGTCAGATTCTACTGAGGAGTATACTATTCACAAGGCATGTGTTAGGCAAATGTGTTAACTTCTAAAACAGTTATTTAATACTTGGTCAATTACTAGTGGAATATATTAAATAATTCTGCAGGATCTGATCTTAAAGAATCAAAGTTCTAAACTGGTTACATCAATACTTAGGATTCTGTCAGTACTACTAACTAAATAGCAAAAAAAAAAAAAAAAAACCAAAGGGTATGAATATCTATATTGATAGTGTCTTTGGAATGTGCCTTCTGGTATTCATTGGGTCCTTGCCTCCTCAAGGCTACAAAGCTTTGATATAATTAACTGTGGCATCCTTAAAAGAAACTGTATATTATGTAGCTGTAGAAAATAACATGTTCCACCATGCAAAAAAGCCTCTTTTGGCAAATTCCAGTCTTCTTGGACTTGTAACACCCTATTACATTTGCTTCATCTCCACATACCCACCTTCCTAAAAGAAAATTTGTAAAAATCAAAGATCCTCAGTAAATGTTGCCAAATAGAACTGAACACAGGTTTTTTTAATTTTATAATTTTTATCAAGAATTATAAGTTCTTTGATGTATCATATAGAGCAGTAACCAATGACTTGACTTACAGTTTAGAATACTTTTGAGTACACATGTATTACCAAGTATAAAAAGAAAAATAAAATTACTGAGGGTCATAAAAATATTATTTCTCCTTTCTCCTGACAGATTCCCTTGTTTCTTTAAATTATTTCAACAATTTGTTTAGCCAAGGTCAAAAAGGATGTTGATATACAAAAAGATTTTTTCTTTGCTTCTTTCTTTCCTTTTTTTTTTTTTTTTTTTGAGATAGAGCCTCGCTCTGTCACTCAGGCTGGAGTGCAATGGTGCAATCTTGGCTCACTGCAACCTCTACTTCCAGGGTGCAAGCAATCCTCATGCCTCAGCCTCCAGAACAGCTGGAATTACAGGCATGTATCACTGCACCCAGCTAATTTTTATATTTTTAATAGAGACAGGGCTTCAGTGATCCATCTACCTCAGCCTCCCAAAGTGCTGGGATTACAGGTGTGAGCCACCATTCCCTGCCCAAAGAGATTTTTAATATTAAAATTTAATACAGGAATGTGATACTGATTAGAACTGACTAGAAGAGTAACCTCAGTTAAACACGTTTTCTTACTTCTTATACTAAAAATCACTTTGACTTTTTACTAACATTATTCATCTTCATCTGGAAACTTGAGATATTAAAATCAGTTATTTTTGAAATTCATAATTGATGATAATGAAAAGGTACCTTGAAGTACATTATATAAATCCAAAGGAAAATTTCAGCCATTCCATATTATGAATACCAAAAACTCACATATATTTCACAATTTTTTAGTGAAAGAAAAATACATGGAAAGTCTTTCAAAAACATAAAAGAAGCCATCTTAACAAAGAGATAAATGATACTACCTCACAGAACAGTTGGAAACAGTCTTTGTGCAGTCTATACTCAATTTGAAAAATTATACAGTACTTAATTCCAACTCTAAATCTAACATAAAAAATATGACACTTCACAATTCAAAACCTTAAACACTTGTTTAGAAACGAACGTTTATTATTTTCAAGAATTTTTTTTTCCTCACCCCTCCATCCACAGGGGAGATAACACAACATACCAAGTACAGCAATGGACTGGCAATGTGAATGTTAGCCCTGAGTCATCTATGTTGGTTCTCTTTCTACAGGTAAAAAGCGACAAGAATAATAAGATAATGTGGAATAAAGATTATAGCTGTAATCAGATTAAACATAAATTGTTAACTTTAAAGCAGAGTGATGGATACATGGAAATTTACTTCATGATTTCATCATACTGCTCTATGCTGTAATATGCTCAAATGTTTCCTTCATCAAAAGTGTTAGGAGGAAAAACATGAGAGAAAACTCATTGGTCACCAAAGTCTCTTATACCTCCTATTTTTTCATTAAACACAATGGTCTCATAAACAAGTGGAGATACTAAATTTTGCTTAACTTTTTATTTACTTTTTTAATGTCAGAAATAACCAGGTACTCATCTTCAACAGACTCTGGCCCACAGCTTGATAAAATGTGTGCACAGCTGACTCACTTCAGACATAAATACCTGGGCATATTTGCAAGTATAATCATTGAATCAGCCTTTCAGGATAGAAATCTGGATTAAAAATAAATATTGTATATATAACTGCATAAGTCCAAACAGAGAAAGGTAGTTGTTTTTCTTAAGGTTCCATAGAAATGTCTACTTCCTTAACTTAAATAACTTGAAAACATATAAATATTTATGTTATATTCATTACAGTTTATTTTGCACCATTTTTTAAGTAGTCCAATTGAGTACAACAGCCTTCAATAATGTGAAACTGTACATTTCACAATGGATGACAGGCACATAATGCTGAATATATGACAC